GTTATTCATTGCGACAATTGACGATAATAGAATTCACATAAGACAAAAAATAACTTGTTTTTGGAAATAAATCCACATATATCGCATTCCAGCCCTTTGCAACAAGCTCTATCGTTGGAACTCGCTTTACATAAATAAAATAAAATAAATAAAATTATTTGTGTAAAATAATTGCAATAATCAAAGATCTTCCCAATTCACACTCGAATTCACAACAACGTTCTTAGACTGTCACCGCGTACTTTATATTTGGTAGTGCTCTAATGGTTGGAGATGCACACATCGTGGGAGATAGAACTGGACTTCCTTCCACAACAGCAAGCTTTACACAAAACAATCAAATGTATGTTTTGAATCAAAAACCTATCATCAAATGAAAATAAATTCTCCAAACATAATACATAATGCATTCATTAGTCAGCAACAGACTCAACTTGTGTAATTCCAATAACAAGTGAAATTCATAAATTTTTAATTACAGCTTGTGTCAGTCGAAGATACAAAATAGGTATTCCCTTCGAACGCCGCGCAGTACTCAGCAACAACCCCCCCCCCTCACTGGTTGCGAGACCCAAGGTCCTATGCCTATGTTTAAGCATAGGTTCATGGGGTAAATGCAGTAATAGCGCCAAGAGTGCGATATGGTAGAATATCTGGGAGTGCACGGGGCGCCGGAGAGAGCGCTAGTTGGGGGCTCTTTGGTTTCAAATGGGATTCATAGACTCGTACATCAATTGCTGCAATATCTTTAAATTGAATGAAATTAAAGGGAAAATGAATATATCTAAGATATTATAAGATCTTTTTCGATTATTGGAGGATGTGCAACTTAAGAACGTGCCGCAACTGCGTATGACAACACCAACACATGTGAATGTTCCGTTAGAATTTTATTAAATTCACAAAATCAACAATGCCAAACACAACAGAATAGTGTTCAATGTTAGCGAAACTGCAAAGCACGCAGCCCGCCTCCACCCAGAGCGTGACAGCACCCTCCTCGCTGCCTGACTGCTGTCAGGTCGGGAGGGTGGCGCTGTCACCACCCCGCGGCACGTGATCTCTCCGCGGCAGTGGCGGAGCAGGTTTAGCAGCGATGTGACTCACTGGCTATAAAAAAGATCGATCCACGTGGATACAAAAAATAAATTAACGAAGGCTAAAACAAAGAATCGGTCGGCTACGTAACGAGGATAATGGAACACGTAAGTTAAATGCTCGAAGCAAAGATTGGTTCCTGTCTGTCCCGCTTTCATTCTCAAAACATTCCTGCGTAATTTTATTAATTAATCTTCAATAAACATTGAAACAGTAATAATTAAACTTTATAAATGCAGAAATCATGTGAATTCTATTACCTAACATTTATGTTTAAGCAAAAAGCTGGTATGTTACAGGAGTGTGAAAGAAAAAAAACAATGAAACAAAGGGGAAAAATGATACAGGAATCAGGGAGGACATGAAAAAACAGAAAATAAACAAAGAGCGGAAATAAAACAACAATTCCGATATATTCGATGCATATGAGTGAAACAGTTGTTTTACGAACGCCGCTGAAAACATTTGTTTTTGCTTCTCATTTCTTACGAGATTCTTGGTATTTACAGTGAACATTGATTTAAGTCGTAAAGTCATATTCAGCATTGATTTCACAAAAAGAAACAAGATTAAATTACTTTCTCAAACCCATTTCACGCTAGAACTCAGCTAGGCATGTAAAACAATTATGGGGAGGCGTTTTCTCAATAATAGTTCTCTTATTGGACATGAGACTCGGAATATGTCACTGGCACACCAACAGAAACAAAAGAGAAAATCGACAGATCGAAATCGATGTTTTATATCCGGCACCGGCCAGTGTAGAATGATTCACAATCCAAAGACCTCGAAGTCAGTAGAAATTTCGGCTTTCGGTTGTTTTCATTCTTTTTATCTCGATTCTACTAATCTAGAATTCGAATTTCCATCCTTGGTAGGTCGCTCGCGTCATCGCAAACTTCTAAAATCTTGTGTATCCGCCCAACGCAACCTACGGAAGAGACGCTCGCCTTTACTAAGTCGTCCGGGTTGCTCGCCGTGTCAGCAGTTCCTTTCAGCCGCGTCTCCGCCGCCCACACGTTCCTCGCAACACGCAGGCAGAGCGGCCGCAGGGCAGCGCATAGGGCGACAACCAGCAGCAGTGTGCGTCACAAATGAACGTGAATGCTCTCCTCAGCGGCAACGAGTTTCCTCTCGCATTTCCAAGACTCACGTGCATATTTCAACCTAGTCTTGTAACATTATTCATAATAACTCACCAGAGACTTAATATAGAGCATTGTTAGTAACTTTCTGGATCAGGGAGGCAATTACTCTCCTAAAACTCAGCGGTCGGTTACGTTCTTCAATAACTGATCTTTTAAACGTGTCGACGAGCATGTAGATGTATGGACTCGTATTTGTACACAGAGTGAAGAAAATCCCTTGCTGATAACAGATCACTATAAGTACGAGATATATGAATTGAAACTGATGCTACAACAGTACATACTTTTTCGCATCTTTTCTAAATTTTCAACTTTTGAAAATTCAGAGAGCTCACCGAAAAGAATGCTTGCGCCATTCTTTTACGCGTTTCTTATTCTAATCGCGGGATATTTTTGAAGAGAAAAAATCGAAGCGGTTTTTAAAATATATTTCAAACGAAATGATGCGAAAACGAATCATATTTTCGAAAAATTGTACTTGAACTTATTTTAAGATCTGTTTTAAAAGAACAGATTTATTAAGAAAAAAATCACAATCTTGAATATTGTAGCAAGAAAGGAAAAAAAAAGATGCCGAAAAAAATTAAAATGTTGCTGTTTATCAGGGATTTCAACGAAAATAAGACCTGCACCATTCTCTTAATTAATTACAACATACACTTAAAAATCCACAAACTATTACATCACGTACGAAAATGAAATAATACTGGACAGTCGATTCAAGGTCGTAAATTGTTACTTTTCCTCAAAATGCAATTTTTCTGTCACCGAGATAACACCAACTGCTCACTGTGCAATATCGGCGTCACTGGGTCGTCATGGTAACGCGAGGAGCGCGCAGAGCGCTCGCAGCGCCATCGAGCGGCGGCGTGGATAGGCGGCGGCGGGGCGCGGACGGCGCGCCATACGGCCGCAGCGCCGTGCCGCTGCTACGAGTGGCCAATCCGAGGGATAAACGCGGCCACTCTCTACGCTCGAGTGGAGCAACGAGGGCCACCGACAGAAAATCCAAATCCAGATACAAAGAAACTAGGTGAATGTGATGTCGACGACGCAGTAAACCGTTTTAGAAGATGTGTTGATAATTTCTTGTTTTTCTTGACATTGGACTTAACTACAATTCATTGAATCGTCGTAACCGTTACTGTTATACCGTTCAAAAATTCCCAACACCAATTAGCCATACATGTTGCCTCCATACGGGATAAGAACTTTTCATATTTCAATTTCAAAATTGTAATCGCCGTAAAAAAATACTTTTTTATTGTTTTACACAGTATTCATTAACCATTACAAATATCGGGTAATTTTAAGTATTCTTGAATATAACAGAAAACTTTAATTTCATCGACAGTTTTGACATTAGATTTCACTGAAATAGTCTGCTTAAATGCTTTTTTGCAGTTACCAAAAAACAATAGAGAGAGAGAGAGAGCTTTAAAGCGTTTTTTATCTTTTCCCTTAGTTTCACCCACCAAAGGGACCCACCAAATTTTTGCCCAGGGGCCTTCACAACAGTAAATCGGCCCTGAGTTTAGGAGAAATGACGCAAAAAACAATATCTACATTATCTTTCTACGTTTCAGTTGGATCTTTTCGAGAAATAAATGAAAAACATTAAAAAATTAACAGATAAACTAATACTCGGTTGATTCTTTCGTCAAGCGAACATTATTGAAAAGAGTACTATCGGCGACAAGGATAGAAACACCAAAAATGTCAGAGAAAAGTATACATTAGTACGTATTCATACAATTAAATTAACATTAGGTTCAACTCCTGCGAGTCTCTAACCTTATCTCAGAAAATGTTTCGTTACAAGGACTGACAAGTGTTTTACTCACCTCATTGGGATCATCGACGACCATTTCTTCGGTACTGGTGTTCTGGAACAAGGAACAGGATCGTAGATTAATTATGCACATCCATAAGGGAAATTTTAATACAACACTTACGAGATGAAATAATGAATACCAACAATAAGAACTAGTGTTCGTTCTTCAAATGAAGAAATTATAATTTTATGCATTAAAGTATTCTAACAATTAAATTGGAATCTGAAGAAGATAATGCGGAAACATAAATAATTATAAATGCAAAGAAATGATAAGTAAATATCGACATTAGGATTCGAAAGTATCGGAGGTATCGAGCATATGCTCTGAAGTCTTAGTAATTTACTCCTGAATACGAACGGCAAGAATACATGTGTTCTTCACGGCAATGGCACACCGACTATTGAATCAATTGGTAATAGTTTTTTCACATTATTTTGATTATTAAAAAAAATATGGAATTCGTAATTGCATAAAGTGTGCGAATTCTAGGAAACTTATCCGGTTCGAGAGAAAGTAAAGTTGAGACTAGGAAGAGGGAGAAGAAAGTAAAGTGGGCAAACTGCAATTAAGCCGGCTCTAAAGAAGAGAAGTTCGCTAATACCAATTACATTAAAGTTTCTAGGCACAAGTGAAAAGGTTTTGGCAGAGGAAGTAACAATGAGGAGAGCATTGTGCTTAAGAAAGTGAATCACCCAGTTAGGTGGAAGAAATTAAACAAAGGTCGAGTAGTTACTTTTGAACAGAACGTTTTGGGCAAAAGGGAGATCAATAAAAATTGAAATTCCGATTTTCGAAATGAAAAGTGAAGGAAACAATAAAGGGTTATAAGAGGAGAGAAGGAAAAAGTGAGAGGTACGATCCATAATAAAATAATGTGACAGAAAGAAGGAAACTAGAGAAAAAGAGGAAAGCCTTAGAGAAAAAAACAGTGTAAGACACGACATATTATGGAAATGGAAGGCGAATAGTTAGAGGTAAAAGAAAAACAAAATGAAGGAAGAAGCGAAAGATAAAAAAGGAACGTCGGGAAAGAAAAGAAAGAAAATAAAAAATTAAAAAAGAACGAAAATAAATATGTAAAGAGAAAGAATAAAAAGAAAGAAAGAAAAGGAAAGCAAATAGGTTAACAGTGGTTGCAAGAAAGGGGAAAGAACGAACTCGCATGGTTTCTCGAACAGGAAATAGCATCCAATACATTAATTACAACTTACACACTGAAAAATTGCACAAAAGACGTTAATTCCATGATATAATTAAAATTTAGTGTTAACATTATAAAACCGGTTAATAATGGCAAGCATATTCGTGGAGTAGAGTGCAGTGCAGCGGCGTGGCGTGGCGTGGCGTGGCGTGGCGTTGTGAAGTTGAGGGAAACGAGTGTGTAAGAAAGATATTGCAGCTTAGTGATCCGCAGTGCAATGTGGTGAGGTTGAGTGCTAATCAAGGCGTGCAAGGCAAGAATGTTCATGTTCATTTGTAAAGTTTGTAAATTTTGTTAAGTTGTTAGTTCTGTAATGTTAAGTTAGTGTACTCTGCCACCAAGTTCTCAAACTTAATTAAACATATAGTAATAAATATAGTAGGAGCACAAACAGATTGAGAACAGTATTCTTAGTTCATTCTCTTGGGCGATTATTTTGTCTCTCAGTTCTACCCAATCGTGTTGAGGAGGGGTGTGTGTGAGAAACTTAGAGAAATGATTCGCATTAATTTTGTAGTAAGTAAAGGCACAGAGAAACGCGATTCCAAGTGCGCGAGGAGGTGCGGCCTCAAGGGACGCGACTTGTGCCGGAGGCGGGTCGCACTGCGTCGGGCAACGGCGCTGTTAAAAGGTCATGTCCGCGGAAAGAGCGCAGCACCGGCCGGGGTGAGTGGATATGCATTGCAATCTCGGGGAGAAAACGGGGCGCTGACCCAACCCGCCCGCCATGGACACGCGATTGCCCCCCCCCCCCCGCTCCACCACTCGAAATGCAGCAAGTTTTCCACAAATATGCGAGAGATTTGTCCGCCTTGCACACGTGTGTGAGCACGCATGTGCGCAGAGTTTGCATAAGCAAACTACGCACGTGCTTGCAGCCACCTCTGGATAGGGGTCCCAATAACTTTTGTAATCTCAGTAATTCTCGTCACAAAATGTTCAAATTTTCGAGACACAAAACGTTACATTATCGACAAGATCATTATTATCGGAGCTCGGATTCTGATGACATCTCATCTTTTCACTGGTGCATTGTAGACGTAGCTAAATTGTAAATGAATGTTTATCATGACATATGGGTGATAGAAATGTATAGTTATTGGGTCATATTTTGCCATTTTTCGAATTTTAAGTCATTTTTGGACTTTTACGTAATTTTTGTCATTTTTATGCATTTTTTCCTTTTTGTGTGTTTTTTGTTAGTGAATGTTTCATGAATTTACAATGACAATTGAAACAAAATATTTATTCTGTCATCCGTCGGTAAGTAAATTCACTCCTGACTCTGTTTTCTGAACTCTGAAAATTACATGGATCTTCGGTAAATTCCTCGATCTTTCAAGACCGACAGTCCTCCTAAAATGAAGACTTATAGTAAATATAATTTTATATAAATACACTTGATTGAAAATTGTAAAATTCATAGAATAAATAAACATTTTAATGCAAATTTTTTAGAATTTTGAAAAAAATATGTCAACTCCCTCTTATTTTTAGGTACTTTTGTAGATCATTTAAACATTTTAAGTCATCAGAATCCGAGCTCTCAATATTATTATTATTATTATTATTATTATTATTATTATTATTATTATTATTATTATTATTATTATCATAAGTCAAATGGAAGTTACATTCAGCATCAAGTCATTACACTTTCATATTCCTTGTAAAAAGATTTCGCATCATTTGGAATGAAATAAATATTAACTTAATTCCATTCAGTTCTTGTAAAGAAATAGCCTTCCCTTACGAGCACAATGCTCCTAACTTTGAATGAAGAAATCTGATGTTCTTGAGTTCACTGACGGCAGGTGTCCTCCGCTAAGTTGTTATCTGTCTACCACTTCATAGAGGCTTTTATCAGAATAAACTCTCCGCACAAATATTTCGAAAGGATTTTTTAAAAAAATATGAAAAAGAAATCGTCTTTCAAGGATATAAACAAAAACAAATATTGAAATAGAATATGAGAAGAAACTTAGTAACCTCTAAACATACTACTGACATATGTAAGTAGTATTTTTTTTTTTTAGATTTTAGAGTCATAATGATCTTAAAAATAAACAATAGTTATAAATAGAAACTATACATGAAAATGTATAAACAATAGATGCAGAGAGGAACAATGGAGGGTGTAAGAAATATTTCCAGTAATGTCATTTAATTCACAGAAAAGAATTACCCGTTTTACTACGTCGAAAAGATGTATATGCAAGAGAAGAAGGGGCGCATAAAATGTATCTCAGAGATGAAAGATCCACGATTTCAGAGAAAGATTCTGAGTTCGTGAATCGTTTCTTATCAACCAGAGTGTTTTCAATACTTTCTATAAATATTTATTTTCTATAACCTCTAATGCTTGAATGTGAGATTTCGCTGCACCACCCCAATCTTTTCCGAATAATATTTCTTTATATGTATTTTCCTCGTCTCGTTCCAACTTATTTTTACCGAAACAGAATGCACAAAAATCAAAATTTCTTATCAAATATCCAAACGCAAAACATCTACACACATGTGTAAATTATAAGCAAACACATCGTAAATCACATAATCAGGTAAAGGAGTTATTAAATATCCCAAAACATATTACACGAACGGCTTGCGACCAAAATGTTTGCGGTTAGCGGAGAAAAGTTTGGATGAAGACGCTCTTAATTTTGATAGATTACCACATAATTTGTATACTAACACATTTTTGACAAGATTTGGCTGCGACCTGCTTGACATTTGCCGTGTGGCTAGATTCGGAAGTTTCCACAAGTTCAATTTAATATAGTACGTCCGGTAGAACAGTTGGATATTTAGGATTTTTAACGAGAAGTGGCAAATTTCTGTGGGTAGAAAAACCTGACGCTCCGTAATGCTGAAGTACCACATTGCAATGCCAGAAATCAAATCATTTCCAGTTTAGTGTAAGAGATTTTTAAGAGCCACACAACTGTGCTTAAAGAGCCGAATGAAGCTTCCGAGCCACTCTGTGGCTTCTTTTAGCATATTATGATAATAAATTATATTGGCGGTCAAAGAAACAATATTTTCCATTATTAACAAATGAAGACTGATATAGTGTTGCTAGTTTCATATTGCAAAATATGCCATCCTTTTTAAGTAATTTGCGTTAAGAGTGCTCATAAATGTCTTAATGACAGAGCATGAAACCTACAAATGATATTAACTCAAATGTTGTCGAAATGTCAGCTAGTTTCATATTGTCGTTCTAGGTCCAATTAAAAGTTAATTTTAGGTATCTTAGTACTACCATTTCCAGTACTGCCACAAATTTCGTGGCACAAGATAATTCATTCGAAACTAACACACATTCACATTTTTGAGATTCAAACTCCCCAGGTGGCGACAACTTGACACAACAGCGCATTCTTGTTCAACGTCTTTTCACCCAACAGCACCTTCACTCGAGCGTAAGTTACAACACGAAATAGTCAGAGACGTCACTTTCAGCGTCGACGTAATCAGTGAAGTAGCAGAGAGAGGTCGTTAAAACCGAAGCATTTCAGAGCAAAGCTTACAAAGCGCCTGATCCAATGTCAGTGTCGGTCGAGTGCCCCAACGGGGAGGGAGCGGTGTAGCCCTGGAAGCGTTACGCAAGGCGGAGTTACGTGAGGCAGTGAAGATGACAACGACAGAAAGCGACGGAGGCGGAGCGAATGATAAGACGTCGCATTCGCTCTGACAATGCGATGTGTCTCTTCCAGATCCGATCTCCGCTCACCACGAACATCGCTTCCAGGTTGACGTCACGCTGCGGCACACAGAGGTTTTAGGAATAACCGTATCTTCGGTAAGCAAGCGACACTCATCAATAAGTAAATGAAGATCAAAT